ATCTTAGTTCGATTTATAATTTGTTAATTAGTTTTACTAAGTTTTGCTTAAATTAATTTCTGGTGTTCCTTTAGTTAATTACTAATTAGTTCAGTTTCAGTTTAATTAGTCGTCGTTTGGTAGTTAGTTTGGTCATAAATTCTGAGTTCAATCGATAGATTCAACAAGAGTTTAAATTGGGGTATATTCAGAGCTTAAGAAACTGTCTTGGTTATAGCTGTAGTTTAGCTTAAATTCAGGGGTAGTTTAGACATTTAGGATTGAGCAGCACATGGTAGTTGAAACTAGAATCTTCTAGGGCCTTATAGAATGGTACTTTGGTGTAAACTTCAATAATTTTAGTGGGATTACTTGGGTAACAAGTTAGAAAATAAGGGACTAGTTGAATAAATAGGTAAGGGACTGACATTGAAAAAATCTGAGGGCTGCCCTCAGCTCTGCCTATAAAGGCATGCCTAAATGCCTTAATGGAGGAGGTTTTTGGAGCCCCAATATTCCAAAAAAGAAAACTCTCCCAGTCCATATCTGAAACTAAAACTTCAGATTCAAATATTCTCCTAAGTTCTTATTGTCAAAAGAAAAAATGCAGTAAAAAATCATCAGCAAAAGTACTGTTACATTGAGCTTTTGGCTCAATCTCGAAATTTCAATAGTTGTTCTTGGTCTCATAGCTTGATTCTAATGTGTTGAAGTTCTTCTGAGGTCTATTAGTTCAATTTGGGTTAATTCAAGCTCAATTTCGATTTATTTGGGTGCATTCAGTTGATTTGTGGTCGATATCTCATTTTAATCAGGTTTAGAGTTCACTCTGGGCTGTGATTTCATTTTTCTGGGTTGTGCATTTGTGTTTGGTTGATCATCCATTGGTTTGTTGCGTTTGAGTTGCTGCTGACTGACCATTCCTCTGTTCCAATTCATAAAACAGGTACTCACCATGAAACTCAGTGCTATGTAGATCACTTGCTGGAAAATGAAATGAAAACTGGAGCTTCAGCTATAGATATGTCATTTGTGAATCTCATCATATTTTAACAGTTTTATGTGATTTGGTTGCTCTATGATACAATCAATTTGAATGTATAACTGAACTAGCAGAACTGTGTTATTTAGATCGCTGGACTGTTTATTTGTAGTACTTAGATTCAGCTTGTTTAGCTTAGCGATTTTCTGTTTAAAATGCAAAATCATAAACAGTTCAAGTTTGGGGTGAAGCTGGAACTGGTATCTTGTCACGTTGAGTTCTACTCTAGATGCTAAACATGCGTCCTAAATAATTTTGTAATGCAGTAGCTTTGACAATTATGAGTCAGTAGCTAGGGTTAATAGTTCACTTTAGCCTTAGCTGTTTTCTCGTCAGTTGGTTCATAAATTGGTTTAAAAGCAACACAAATTAGGAGATATAACATTTATCTTGTAATTGGCAGCGTGAGTAAATTTATTAATACGTTTGTTCATTTTTAAAATCAGGACGACATAATCACTTTCTTGAACAATTTGAGAATCAGTATCTAATTGATCTAGGTAAGTGCATATTCATTTCTTTTGTTAGAAAAGTGGAGCCCATTCACGAGAGTTTGGGCTTGATTGATTTGGGCTAATTTCAGGTCCAATGACCGTGGCTGTGGAAAATTTCGGCCGGTGTAACACTTTCAAATGTTGTTTTATTAATACTAATAATTGGTTAGGGCCTTTTCTTTAGTAGAGACAAATAAAAAATAGGAATTCTACTAGCTCTAGGGTCTGCCTTTTTAAAATAAAATTTGACGAGCCTAGCTGAACAAAACACATAAACTGCGGGGCCCTCAATAATTAGTTATAATGAAATACTTAAAATTCGGGATGGGCCGTTTAGCGAATTTCACGGTCTTCCCTAAAGATGATAGCGCGTTAGACACTTTGGATGCGCTTTTAATTGAATTACTTTCCTAAACTCGGGTGCGCATTGATGCGATCCAAATCCAAATCTCAACGAAGTCAAGATGCGTTAACAACCACGGGTGCATTCATTGCGACGTGGTTCGAAACGCGTTTTCATGACATTGCAATTCTTTTAAAAAACGATAAAAGCGGTTTACGAATAAAAGGCACATAAGCTAGCATGTATTAAAATCAGATAAAATCAAATACAATAGTTGAGCGACCGTGCTAGAACCACGGAACCCGGGAATGCCTAACACCTTCTCCCGGGTTAACAGAATTCCCTACTCAGCTTTCTGGTTCGCGGACTGTTAACAGAGTCATATTTTTCCTTGGTTCGGGATTCAACCGGTGACTTGGGACACCATTAATCTTTCAAGTGGCGACTCTGAATAATTAATAATTAAATCCCGTTCCGATTGTCCTTTAATTGGAAAAATTCTTTTACGCTCTTGCGCGTGTATGAAAAAGGAGTTGTGACGGTGCTTTATCTGAAACATGCTTAATCACTTTGTAACTACATGAACATAATTGTTATCATTGATTTAGCTGTAGTCTTGATTTATATGTTGAACACTCATCCGTAATTTATTATTGTCGTGTCCTTGTGCGCCTTGTTGATAAATTGGGAGCTTATATCTTTCATGAAAATTTAGCATCATTGTTTTCCGTGTAATTTCTTCCTTGAAAAAGGTTATTTTCTTCCATGAATTAAATCCACAAAATCGAAGAGACGTGTGAAACATTCTTGTACACGTGTCCTTCAGTTCAAATTCACCGCCCCAAAATCTGGTTTTCTGCCAAACAATATATATAGCAGTTCAGTTCAGTTCAGTTCATCCCCACAAACATTACTGTCAGCAACAAAAACACTCCACAAAATTACTCACATTTCCAAAGTACCATCTTATTTTGCCTTAAACAACACAAACAAGCCATGGGCAAATTAGAAACTGTCACCACCACCTCTGCTGCCGCCGCCGATGACTCACAGGAGCTGACCACCAATTTCAAGCTAGTGGGTTTCAAGAATTTCATTCGAACCAATCCCCGTTCCGATTTTTTCTCCGTTAAACGTTTCCATCACATAGAATTTTGGTGCGGCGATGCTACCAATACGGCTCGCCGTTTCTCTTGGTCTCTCGGGATGCCAATTGCAGCTAAATCCGACCTCTCCACCGGAAACTCCGTTCACGCTTCGTACCTCCTCCGTCCCGTTTCAGGTTCGCTTCAGTTCCTCTTCACTGCTACTTATTCGCCGTCTATTTCGACGCCGTCATCTGCAGCCATCCCCAGTTTCTCTACTTCCACACACCGCTCTTTTACGACAACTCACGGGCTCGGCGTCCGTGCCGTTGCTTTGGAAGTGGAGAATGCTTACACGGCGTTCTCCGCGAGTATTTCACGTGGGGCGAAACCCATGTTTGAACCTGTGACTATCGATGAACGAGTCGCGGTGGCTGAAGTTCACTTATACGGCGACGTCGTTTTGCGGTTTGTGAGCTATCTGAAAGATGCGGACAGCCTCGTTTTCCTCCCAGGTTCGGTGAATTATCTTCATCTGACATTTTAACTCGCCCCTAACGTGCTGTCTCACTTTATTACTCTATTAGATATCCAATTTACATGCGGTGTGATAATATAAAGAATTTTGTACTTGCCTTATCAATTTTTTTGTTTTTAAAAATATTGTCAGTCCATTTTAACCTGTTGTACCGAGTTATTTGTTATTTTTTTAGTTATTAATCTCACTTATTATATACGATTTAAAAATTCTTTTATTTTATTTGTGTATACGTTTAAAGTCCATCAAGTACGTGAAAATACTTTCTTTTTGTTGATGAGTGTAGGTGAGACAGTTTGTTTAGTGAATCCGTTAATGGAAAACTGTTATATATTTTTGTTTGCTTCAACGAATCGATTTATAAATCACGTTTCTTTATTTGTTTATGTCCGCAACACATTATGGCCTGATTTTTTTCTTAGACCAAGTAGGTGGAACCTATTTTTTTTTTCTTTTCATGAATGGTGGTAAGAACTTGTGCCTGTTTCAATTCATTTGAACCGCCTCATCTAAACACTTAAATGGTTTGAAATGAACACTTTTTGTCTATTTATTACTATTTGCAACAGGTTTCGAGGCCATGGAGGAAACAGCATCGTACAAAGAACTGGATTATGGGATTCGCCGGCTGGACCATGCTGTTGGGAATGTGCCGGAGCTGGGTCCTGTAGTGGACTATATCAAGCGCTTTACGGGGTTTCATGAATTCGCCGAGTTCACAGCTGAAGATGTTGGGACTGCTGAGAGCGGGCTGAACTCTATGGTCCTGGCAAACAATGACGAAACAGTGCTGCTTCCGTTGAATGAGCCGGTTTATGGAACCAAAAGGAAGAGTCAAATTCAAACGTATTTAGAGCACAATGAAGGGGCAGGAGTGCAACATTTAGCTTTGGTTACAGAGGATATATTTAAAACATTGACTGAAATGAGGAAAAGGAGTGGGGTTGGGGGTTTTGAATTCATGCCTTCACCTCCGCCTACTTATTATAAGAATTTGAAGAATAGGGCAGGGGATGTACTGACTGATGAACAGATTCAGGCGTGCGAAGAATTGGGAATATTGGTGGATAGGGATGACCAGGGGACCCTTTTACAGATCTTCACCAAGCCTGTGGGGGACAGGTATGTCAATCACTCCTTTTTCCTTTGGCTCGTATGGAATGAGGTATCATTTATTCTGACCTTACACATTATAATGGACTAATGTCATAGATACTGACAGTTTAAAAAAAATTTCACATGAGGTTAGCTAGTTGCAGTAGGTTACATATTTTTCAAACTTTATATTGGTAGTGTATATAAGTTAAAAGCTATTATTATGTTTCCGTTGCTCTATATTTATTCTCTCTTTTTTTAAAGAAAACCTGCTTATGACTTATGAGATATATATAATCCTAGAGAGCTGAGTGTTCGGAGCTTTGCAAGCTGGACCATGAAAAATGGATTCTTGAAGTGGCCAAACTGTCGAGTGTGTAGTCTCTGCAGGATGGGAAGTTCATGTATTTGTAGGTCAAGGGGGAAGATCAGGGCTGTAGGAATGGATGGATATTGAATCATTGAAAATATGAAAAGGAGATCTCTGAAATTGTAGCATGGACAGTAACAGTAAGGCATCAAATAACAACGCTTTACTGTAGCAGAGTTACAACCATAGTAAACTAGAAGCTGGCATTACATTTTCTACCAGTTTCTGTCACTGGACTATTTGCTTTAAAGATCCCCCAAGTTTAGCTAATATGTGAAGTTCTAAAAGAGAGTGTTTGCTGATGGAAGTATGAGGTCTATTAATCTGACTGGCCTTTTTGTGTTTTACCTATTTGTTCTTGAGCTGGGAGTTCAGGTGCTCAACTGCTCTATTTTGGATTAAGGTCGGTAAATTCAGTCAATAAGTTCCTTAGGAGTGATATAATGAATGCAGCAGTTCCGTTTGGTGTTGGTTAATTCTGGTCTATCTTTGTATTAGTTCACTAGCATATCAGGAAAAGTGACGTTCCTTTCCATGATGAGACCTCACTCCACTCCAAGTAGGCGAATCTCATGTTGATCTCTAAAACAGAAATATGTGAAACACCCTCGAAAATGAAGGTAGTACAATCTTTTCATTGGTATTCACATAGTGGGCAGTAACTTAGGAATATTTGCACCACTTCGCTTTTGCCCCATTGCTTGCTCCGCAGATTCTTTATTCATGGTGTCTCACTCCTAATTCTTGGGACTCCTGTGTGATCTATTTCTGGTGCCATGATCTATCTGCATTGTTATTGCTCAAAATGGTAGGTATATTTACTTTGGATCTTGCTCTTTATTCCATTACATAAATATATAGGAGCAATCCTTTATTCTAACATCTTTTATACTGCACATCTTATTTTCTTCTTCGTTTTCTGTTTGCATGTCGTCTCTCACATCTAACACTGAAGTGTATGCTCCAAAATGAGCTCCATTATTGCCTTGAGATAGTGAATATGTTTTATGCCATCTTCTGTGGCTAAGGGACGTACTTTTGTATTCACTGTTCAGTCCCATATAAGGCATCGTTGTTCATTGAATGGCAATGCCTTTTCACCTTGCTATCTTGTGGGTTTTCTCTTCCAACTCCTATACTCATTTGTTATCGGTTAGGGAATTGCTCCATCAAGGTTTGTGACTCAACCTTGTTGCCAGACCATTCTAATTATCTTTGTAGATTTCTTTCTGATGAGCAAGGATGCCAGATTAACAAAAGCAGTGGCCAAATGGGTTTCGCATATTTAGTAAAGGAAGCCAAAAGATTCAACCTGATTTCAACATAGCATTTGCAAAACTCATTTTCTGCTCAAACCAGATAACTGTCTGAGGTCCCCACTTCTCCCTCCAAAAAATAACAGAACAATAGCAGTGTGTTCTTGTATTGCACCTCCTTGAAGCTAGCTATTGCATTAGGATTTAGGACCACGGTGAGCACAACCAAATGTGGCTTGGCTAGTATAGCCGTTCAGATTTCCTATTGCAGACATTTGGGGAAGCTTCTGAATTGAAGACGGCCAAGTCTTAACCCTTGAATGTTGAAACAATTTCCTCACTTTTAACGTATCATTTTTGTTTCCCAACTCTTTGCCGTCTCCGTTAGTTTCAGCTAAATTATGTACGTTAGGGTCATGCTTCTTGGTCCTTAGAACTGTACACTACCTCCAATATAAATTTAACATCTTTATTGAGACATGTTTGGGCATGAAACACCAGAAGCCCTATCCCAGGCTTTCTTTCTTTCAGTCTGATGACTAAAATTCATTTTGTGATACAATCTTGAATCTTCTACTTTTTGAGAAACCACATGTGAGGTTGATTTGTTTAGCTGTTTGTCTGCTTTGACATAAAAACAAAAGCAGCAATGGGAGGTAGAAGGAGTTCTAACCTTTCGGCAAGCGAACTTTTGAAAGGTTTAAGTTTGTTAAGGGATGGGAAAATGATTCAAGGACGGGCTCACATAAAGTAATAACATGTTAACATGGACTATATAAAGTTGGCTAAGTTTGGAATACTAGTAGTATTTATTATCATTTGGCTTGACATGTGCTAGTTAGGACTAACACAAGGAATTGGCTCACGTGTTCAACATTATAGTGGGAATGAAAGAAACTGGTAAGAAGAAAAAGAAAAGAACAGCGAGCTTGAATCTTCTCTTATGTCAAGAAGATTCATCATTTCATACATATGCAAGAAGATTTCATTCTCGTCCTATTTACGTAGTAGAGTAGTATTTTTGGACGATGAGTATTATTGAACCTCCTTGCGTCCACCTAGCTCCGTCTCTCATCCTATGTTGTAACCACTGCACTTTTGCAAGTTTCTTCTAGTAAAAAAAAATAGTTTTGACAACTATTGTAATTGTTTTCTGCAGACCAACTATATTTATAGAAATAATTCAGAGAATCGGTTGCATGCTCAAAGACGAAAAAGGACAGGTGTATCAGAAGGGCGGCTGTGGAGGCTTCGGAAAGGGAAACTTTTCAGAGCTCTTTAGATCCATAGAGGAATATGAGAAGACGCTTGAAGCCAAACAAGCTAATCAAGTTGCTGCTGCTTGACCATATAAGCATTCGCGTTCTTTTTGCCCCGTCTAATCTGACATTGTGGACAAGGGCGTCTTGACTTGGTATTAGTACGTTAGCTGCTATTTGACGTCTCTATTATTAATGAAAAAGGCTTCTGTATATAAGTTTATCCGACATGCTTTTATGTAAAGAGTCGCTAAATAATGGAAGAACCAAAACTCAGGTATTTTTAGTGTAAGGGGATGATTGTACGGGTGGAAGAAGTTTACGATATACCATAAGTTCTTCTCCAGTTCTTGTTTTTTGGTCTCTTCCTCTGTTGTTCAGATCATTACGTTTGACTTGATCAAGGCGTTGATTCAATAACACCAGCTAGAAGATAGTTTTGTCACAAAAATAATGCACATGATTTTGGAGTCGAATTTTAAATACATGGGTCATGTGTCTTCTTTTTATCAACCTTAATCCGTCACCCCTGTCGATTTCCAGGGAAGAATACTTGATCCTTCAAGCACTGCTCTGATTTTCTCGCGAGGAGACTAAAGTGAAAGACATGGCTTCTCTTTTGCTTTCTTTGTTAATTAGTCTCTCCTTGTTTGGATTACAGGATTCCAAGAGTAACTAACACTCTGTTTGGATTATTATTTCTCATCGTTTTATAATGTATTGTATTATATTGTATCGTATTGTTTTATGAATACAATATTTGGATAGATTGTATTGTTTGTTAATGTTAAATAATATTTTGCTGTTTGGTTTGACTGTATCGTACTGTACTGTAACTGATAAGTTTACTAAAATACCCTCAATTGTTTAAATATTAAATTTATCAAAAAATATGCATAAAATAATTTTAAAAAACCAAACAGAAGGAGGCAAAACACCTTAAGAAAGCAGAACAAAGGAGCGAGACAGAAGAATGCAAAACAAAGGAGCACAGCTAATTAAAAGTGAGTTAAAAGCAAATTAGGAGAAAAAATAAAATAGAAGGCGGCAAAACACCTTTAATGTCGGCGACAGAAGTTTTAAAAAAAAAATAAAGTAGGTTATAGATTTGAGATTTGGAGTTAAAATAGAAAAAAAGGTACAAGTTAAAATAGAATTGTGAAGTAATAAGTGTCACACCTCCTTTTTACGCACCCGCGAGGGTGCAGGGGAGTTTTTCCAATTAAAGGACAATCNTCGTGGTTAGAGCTACATTTCAACTCTGTTGGGATTGGGATTTGAGTCACATAACTGTGAACCCGAGTTTAGGAAGATAAATTATTAAAGGCGTGCCTAAAGCGACTAGCGTATCATTTACTT